TTCGCATGCCAGGGCCGCGCTGCGGACCACATAGGCCACCCCCTTCCTTCCCTGCTATGGGGGTCAGTAGAGCCTGTGGATTTAGCCCCAGGAACGATGTGGCTGGAGCCTTGTCAAGAGCAGGTGTTCGGCTCTGAGAACTCCCTGAGCATAAGTGCTTAAGATTTACGCTGCAGCCTCATCGCACAGTGCCTTAAATGCATATAGACGGTGCGCGCATAACCATCAATTTTAATCTTTGGAGTATCTGGAGAAAAGAAGTGGAACCCACAGACCTGAACCTGGGTGATGAACTGCCAAGACCAAAGGGCCTAAGGCCTAGAGGCGCCTAAAAGAGTCAGGGGTGGGAGAGAGGTTTACCAGGAGCGATCTCCTTGCTCAGGCGGCACAGGCTCCAAGTAAAAGACCTTCAAAGGGAGCATGGCACGCCACTCTGAGGGACTGATATATCCTCATCTCCTTTCAGATGTCACCAAAATATGGGCCTGAAGAATACTGCTAGCACTCCCCAAATACCCAGTTCTCCAAAGAGTCGGGAGAGAAGAGCGGTTAGGAAGGAAGCCAGAGACAGGCTATTAGGTTTAAGTGCAGCGCAGTTAAGTTGAGTTTTGTTCAACAGGTTCAGTGATTCTGTATCTCCATCTATCAAATTTTCTCCCAGGTTGTCACCGGGGTGGCCACATTGTTCTTTGATTCCTGAAATTAAAAAGGACACGGAGTTTTCACGGCCAATGAGACATAGTTTTGCTTCCTTCATGATAACAGCGTGGAACAAGGTGCGCAAATTCCTCCATTCGAGTCTCGCACACCCACGATGAAGTGACAAGAATAAATCTTTCCCACCTATGGAGGACGCTGCACCTCGTCTAACAAACACTGCGGGAGAGGACGCGGGTGCGAGTGCGGCCCAGAAAGGAGCACAGGAGGTGAAGCAGGGCAGGCAGTCGTGGGCAAGACCAAAGAGAAATCTCAGCAAATTCGGGAAAAATGACCTGAGCCTGTCGGCGCCTCCGCAGGCTCAAGTGGCACAGGCGGGACGCGGCACCCGGGATAGGGCGGGACAGAGGCTCCGCGCTCCAAGGCGCTAGGATGGCGAAGGGCAGCGAGACGGTGCTGGGGACTTAAAGAACGAGGCAAGGGAAGGGAATCCCTCGCCGCGAGGGGCCCGAGCGTCTTTGCGCGCCCAGAGGCGATGCAGGGGAAGCTCCGGGTGGCGATTCCCACCGAGGTCAGAGGCTCGGGGATGGCAGGCCCGGGTCGCGCCGGCGTCGCCCGCGCGGGCCGCGCTGCAGAGCGGGCGCGGGGCACAGGGTGGCGCTCGCTGTCCGCGCAGCGGGCGGAGGCGGCCGCGGTGCCTTTGTGCACGGTGGGTGCGGCGCGGGGCTGTTCCGGCCGGGAGCCCGAGGGAGGCTGCGGGCCCGGGTCGGACCCGGGGCTAGGTTCGCGGGGAGACCCAGAACGGGGCGCCCCATGCTTCGCTGCTACCCGCCGGCAGACCGCGCTGCTCTCCAGCTCGGAACCCTCTCCGAGAGGTCGTCAGGGTCTTTCTGACAGCACAGGGCACATCGAGGAGGGGGGAAGAGGAAAGCAGGAGGTAGCGTCTAGAAAGGCTGGGAAATCTTCCCGTGCTCAAAACCTCCCACTTAATTCATTTACAAAGAGAACTAGGGCGACTTTGGGCAGGTCGGCCCTGAGCTAAGAGCCCTGCAAGAGTAGCAGAGGGCGCTTCCAAGGTTCCCTCCCGCGCAGCAAGAAGTTAGTGCCTGAGAAGCAAAGTTAGGAACTGGGCTTAAAAGAAGAAGCCCCAGTAGATGGACTTGAAAGAATGGCATAGGAACGACAGTGAATCCTGATGCCGGGTCACCTCAAGCTATCCTCGCTGTCCCTAGAGCTCTTGGAGCCCCGACAGACCGTTCGTTAGGAACCAAAGCAAAATGTATAAGGCTGCTTCCTCCTTGCCAGGAGACTCCGCAGAAAATTAAATTAAATTAAACATGCGCCCAGGGACCAAAGAAAAGAGGTTCCCCCTCCCCCCTGCTATAGCAAATCAACATTTCTGCTCATGGGGAGTGCAGCGAACCTTAAGAGACGGCCACTGACGCGCATCCCCTTAAACCGCGGCAGCCAGGGTCCAGGAAAGCTAGGAATTGCGGCTTTCCTTTAATCCGGAAGCAGGGAATAAATAGGGCGCGAGCAAATTCTGAATCTTATTTTTTAAATAACAGCAACAATTGTATGGGCCATTTTAAAAGGAGAGAGAGAGGGAGAGAGGAAGGAAGGGGGAAGGAGGGAGGGAAGGAAGAGACTACCGTAGAAACCACACTTTTAAAAGAAAGAGAGGGGGAAAGAGAGACATTGGTAATACCTGGGTTTTTCTTAGGAGTGTAGGGAGAAATAATAATGCCTGTTTAGACAGAAGCAGCAAAAATCCATTAAAAAAATAAAATACAATAAAAAAAAGAAAATCCAGTTTATTCAAAATACTTGTATCAAATCAATATCTCTTTGAGGCTATTTATATGAAAAGATCGGCAAAATTTAGAAATTCTTTCATTATAATATTTATCTCTACCATTTTAGGCAACCAGAGAATAATCAAATCCACACTTTTCTTTCCCTCTAAAGTTCCTGCCTTAATTTACCAGCCAAAAAGATCACATGACCGCTGAGCTAATTTTCTACAATAAAATATTTATTTTAAAGAAATTCCACCACAGGCCTTTTGTAACATTCCATTCAATAATCTTACCAAAAGATCCACGGGGGAGATGAAAATGATGGTTGTATTATCGATCTGCCTACTCAGGAGTCCAATCTCATCACCTGCTTGTCTTTAAATTTTAATTTCTGCATTCTCTACCTAAAGGAAGCCCACTTGAGAAGTTATGCTAAGATTGGGCTAAGAGGAGGGTGGAAGGAAGGCCAATCCATCCAGGGACTTATCCCAACATCATTTGATAAAGGACAGTAATTCATCATATTTCTTTAACTTTCTAGCATAAAACATTTTAGTTGATAATCCAACCTCAACGCATCACCATCACATCCCTAAATGAAAGAGATTATCCAAAAAGAGAGAAAGTAGGGAAGGAGCCAGAAAAGGAAAAGGCAGGATAGGGAAGAAACACTCAAGTTTGGAGAAGAGATGAGGTAGGAATAGATCACATTGGCACCCCTTTTCTGATCTCTGGAGGGTGGGCTGATATATGCTGGCCTGACCTTCAGGTCAATGGCTAGTTTAACTCTGCCTCGATCTGCAAAATTAGAAGTGTCTCTTAGTTCAAAGTGAGACCCAGCCTGTCTTCATTTGAGTGAGGCTCCAACCATTGCTAGGAGATGCCTGATCACAGACAAAGTAGGGAGAAATCTCTGTTTTTTTTTACTTCATCTTCTGGTATCTCAAAAGGGGATACTCATCCCCAAAAGGGGAGCCCTGCCCACCCTGCAGAAAACTAATCTAGAAATAAACTGCTCAATAACCATCAAGACAAACTAAAGCAAAGCTACAGGGTGTAAGGGAGCCAAAAGAAGAAAGTGAAAGTTTGCACATCTACACAGCAGAAAAAAATCTGTCCCCCTTCAACCAAAGAAGCCGTCTTCTAAACAGTATTTCTCCTTGCCATAACCGCCTCTTAAATGTTGATTCTGCATGTAATGCAACTGATGTTATAAAGGTACCAAGCAGCTTTCCTCTTACCTGCCACTACATTTAACTCCTTCAGAACAGCTCTCTCCGAAGCCCTCAGCTCTGCAACTTTCAATAAAAAAGAAACAACACTTTAACTGTGTTCTGCGTGTTATTCCTAGGAAGAAAGTGACAGAAAGAGACTGTTTTACTTTTTAAAAACATTATTTAGAGTAATAGTATGCCAAAGAATAAGAGCTAACTTGCTTGTCTAAAGCCAAAGGGATTGGAGGCCTCAAATGTCTGCATAGACAGAAGGATTAAGGCTGTCTGTTACTTGGGCACAAGCTGCATTATTTTAAAACATTTCTATATCTGATTATTTTTCCCCTGAATTTAAAATGTTCATATTACTTTGCATTTTCACTTCTGTTTCTATGGGTTATGACTTCATATAAATTTCAATGGAAAATTGTCAGTTCAAGATTATACCAAGACTGAATTTAGGGTGGGGAGAATGCAAACAGAAAGAAAGAAGCTAAACTTATAAGAATCTGAACACACTAACTTTTTATTCAATTTGATTCAAAATAATAATATTAATCTAATAGTGAAATAGTGATATAACATCAATCAACATTTAGAGTATTTTATGTTTCAAAGTATGGCTCAAGGAACACCCATTTCTTAAATGCACTTAGACATAACAAGACAATATTTTTTATTGGCATCATTGACACCTATGAACAACAGCCTAGTAAATAGATTAAGGTTTAACCTTCCCTTTCTTTGGTGGCTGTTTAGAGACTTTAAAAGAACAGATAACTCATTTCAACAGGAATCTACTACTGATATTTACCTCTACATAATCTTTAGCTAAGACATGGAATGCCCAAAACAAGCTTTTGTTAGCTTGACCTCCTCCACCTCCTAACAACAAAAGTTATCCCCAAACCCATGTTTTTATTTTAGATGTATTGATCTTCCAGTGTAAGGGTTGGCCTTTTAAGTACTAAATGCAATCAATGGCCAACAACCTGACTCCTTCTGGAGACTGAGAAGGAAGCAGAATGGGAAATTTCTTTGAATTGTTTGTGACTTCGTACAAATTTCAAGAGGTCAGTAAATCCTGATGCTATGAGCTAAATCTACTGGTAAATAATTAATTATATTTCTTAGACACTATAATCTTTATCTTGGTAAATAGAGAAAACACAGTTTTGCCAAATAGATCTTTCCATCTAACTAATATTTTAAAGACAATTATTTAAATATTACCATACAAACAGGGTTATATTTTGTTTAAATTAGACAATTAACTGAAGATAAAATGAAAATGTCCATAGCTTAAAAAGGGGGAAAAAATACAAATTAACTGGCCTAGTCTTTTAGCTGAGTTTATTAATACCATTTAAAATATTACAAATAAATCAATTACATTTCATGCATTTAAAATGCAAGTCTAAAATGTTCCAGAGAAAGGCTTTTCATTTCAATGTGAAATATCCAAATTATTTCAACATTACAATGAGCAATCAGTTTGCAGAATCTGCAAACACTTAAATGTAGTATCAGGAATGTTTATTAACAGTTAACAATATTACCTTCAGGAAATACACAAAGGCCAAAGTTAGTCGAGTTTCACTTGGACAATTTACTTAATACATGGGTTTTGGCAGACCCAGTTATTATGAAATATAGGAGAACTCTCACTTTAACTATGCCTGAACTGCCAGCAAATGCAAATAAGTACATGCTCCATTAAATTAAATGTCATCCAACATTTATCAAATATTGTCTTAGTTACAGTTTGATACCTATCTAAATTCATATTCGAGCAAAACTAGGCCCCGAAAGTGCGTTTGTGGCTCTGCACCTCCAGAAGTGAGTTCAAAAAACCTGCAGCTCCTCAGAACTGCAACAATAACTCTTAATATTTTCTTGTGACCAAACAAAAAAATCAAGTTTACTTCAATATATTTTCAAATATTTACTGGAAGTAATGTACAAGAAAAATACTATACAAAATCGTCTCCTGGACAACTGCACCTCACACCCTTACACTGGTGGAGTTATATTTAATTGTTAACTAATCTAGAACGATTCTCCAGTTGTATAAACCATTAGGTTCAGATATATTTTACAAAGGTTTTTTTTCTTCCTATTTTCCCTCTTTTGGCATTTAAACTACAGCCTCGTCTGAATAAACGATAGCTTCTTCACTTGTTTATAAGTTTAAAACACAAAAAAAAAGGTTTACCCTAAAATCTTCAGTGAATTGCAAGAATCTACAGAAATGGGTATTATACAAATTGACGGTTGGACTAACAAAAAAAGATTGGGAGATTATGCTTGGGAGTGGTGAAAAACGAGGTAGAAAAGGACAAACATGGAGATAGTTAATCTGGTCTCACCGGAAAGGGGTATTTTTGCATAAGAAAAAGACACCTACCCTCACCCCCACCCCCACCCCATAAGTTAAGTTAATACAATCAAAATAACTTTGGGATCAATATTAGAACAGTTTCCAGAGAAAGAGTTTCTCCCGCTAAAGGAAAAACTATCCAGAAGGGAAACCAAGTAGAAGGTTGCTATTTTTTACCCTTAGTTTTTTAGTTCTAAAAAAAAAGTTATAAAGATGAAAGAAGGCTGCTGCAGCGATTCACCAAGACCGCCCTTTGCTGAAACTTGCATCGGTTCCACCTCAAGGAACAAAGAAAAAGAGGCAGAGCTGACAGTTGGGAGAGCTAAACTCTGCAAACTCTGGGTCTCGGTGCTACCAGATGGGCACCCCACCGAGCTCCGACCGCCTGCGCGGGGCGTCCGCTGGTGCCCTGCGCCCCGGGAGGGCGCTCCGAAGCCGGGGCGCCTAGGACAGCGGTTGTGGGATCAAGTCGGCAGCTGCTCCGGCGGGGCTGCCCTGCCCGGGCCTCCTGCCTCGCCCTCCCCACTACTCTGGCCCAAACTTGCTCAGCCGAGTCGTTCCCGCCCAGGCAGAGGCCTGCGGTCTCCCAGGCACTGGATTTGCCCAGCTCTAGCTCCAGCGGCCGCTTCGCTCTAAAAGTTACACCCGTCACAACCTGGGGGTGGCGGAGGGAGGGTTAGACGAGAAGCAAAGGCCTAGAGCCACGGTTTCGAGCCGCACCCGGCTCGGATAGTGTTACCAGTGGAGAGGGGAAGCCTGGCCCCGGGACAGCGATGCGTGTTACTTACATGTCCATATCCCCATTTACAAAGTTAAGTCACGCGGGGGGAGGAGAGGGGAGGCAGGGACAGAAAAAGAGAGAGTGAGCGAGTAGGATGCAATAGAGAGAAGCTGGAGTTGAGGCCAGGACAGACTGTGCCCAAGCGGACCGGGGTGGGAGCGGGTCGGGGACAGGGGCGGGCACGGGTGCGCGTCACTCCAGGCCGTTGCGGTGCCCGGGCTCCGGGGGCTGCAGCAGCTCCGGGGAGTGGCAGGGCGGGCTGCCAGCGGCGCTGTGCTCGCTGTCGGTGTCGCTGCCCTTCTTGCCGCCGCTGCCGGAGCCCGCCGAGCCGCCGCCGCCGCCGCCGCTGTGCGTCTTCACGTGCTTGCTGAGGTGGTCGCTGCGCATGAAGCGCTTGTTGCAGACGGGGCAGGCGAAGCGCTTCTCGCCGGTGTGGGTCCGCAGGTGCCGCTGCAGCTCGTCAGAGCGCGTGAAGCGCTTGCCGCAGAAGAGCCAGTTGCACACGAAGGGCCGCTCGCCCGTGTGCCAGCGCAGGTGCGCTTTGAGGTGCGACGTCTTGCCGTACACCTTGCCGCAGCCGGGGATGTGGCAGCTGTGCAAGCCCTTGCGCCGCAGGCTCGCCCCAGCCGGGCCCAACCGCTCTGCCTCCTGGCAGTTGGGGCAGTCGCAGGTGGCGCGGCCGGAGTAGCGGCGAGCGGAGGAGCGCGGGGAGCCCCCCAGCGGCGCCGACGGCCCAGCGCTCAGCATGGAGCCCCCCGCGCCGGCCAGCGGGGACGGGGCCGAGTCCGGGTAGGAGCCCGGCAGCACGGGCTTGAAGCCGTCCATGAGGTGCTGCCCCGCAGGGCTGAGCAGGTGCGAGGAGGCGCCGCTGCTGAAGGCCGAGTGACTCAGGCCTGAGTAATCCGAGTTGTAGCCTCCGAGCGGCGAGTGCAGCGAGGTTTGGAGCCCCCCGGCGGCGGGGTGCAGCGAGCCGGGCAGCGCTGCCGCGCCGTTCGGGTTCTGCACGTCGATCCAGCCGGCGCCCACGTCCCACCAGCTGGAGGCGCCGGCCGAGCCCACTTCGCCCGCGGCACCCAGGCCCGGGTGCGAGGGCTTGAACCACGATTCGTACGGGTGCGCCATGCCCACGCGTGGGTAGATGCCCTGCAGCCCGTCCACCGAGGTGTGCACCTTGGAGATGAACACTGGCTGGTGGGAGCCGTCCTGCGAGTGCGCGGAGGAGCCGCCGCCGCCGCCCCCGCCGCCGCCGCCGCTGCCCCCGGACACGCCGGGGGCCTGGAACACGGAGTAGTCGTTGGCGAAGGGCGAGCTGGAGGCGGCGGCCGCGGCAGCCGCGGCGGCGGCCGCCGCGCTACTGGAGGTGAGGGAGAAGGCGCTGGAGCCGGGCGAGCCGCCGCAGCTGAACGAGTCGGACACCAGGGCCGCGGCCGCCGCCGCTGCCGCCGCGGCCGCAGCCGCCGCAGAGGACGAGCCGCCGTTCCTGGAGGCCCCGGACACGCCGAAGCTTGAGAGACTGGAGCCCACTACGTTGCAGCTGCCGGAGGAGGAGGACGAGGAGCGTTTCCAGGGGTGGAAGCCTTTGCCGAAGGAAGAAGAGCTGTCCGAGAGGGAGGAGGGAGACGGGCTGGGGCTGCCGATCTTATTACAGGTAGCAGCAAGCATGGCCAGAGGAGTGGATCCCAACCTCGGTTCTTCCTGTGAGAAGGAGGAGAGGGGAAGGGGTGGGGGAGGGGAGGAGGGCAAAGGGCCGGCGGGGAGGAGGGCAAAGGGCCGGCGGGGGAGGGAGGGAAGAAATGTGCATCAGTCCTCCGGTAGCCTCCGAGACGCCCCGCTGCACCCCGTCTCTCGCTGCGGCGCGCCGCCACCAACTCACCTGGCACCCCCAACAGCCCCGGCGCCCGGCTGCTTCCTACTCTACAGGAGGGGACAAGTTTGGCTGCCGGCGTCTGATTCGGGAGCAAAGCGCCACGCAAAAGAAGAGTTTGACAAGTATTCTCACCTAAAACAACACGCTCGTGCACACAAGGCCCCAGACACTTCGAAACAAACAAGGAAAAAGTCCAGATTGGGGAGGAAGGAAGTTTCCTTTGCCGAGAAGTCTGGGGAAAAACCACTGGATTGCTTTTAAGAGCGCTTCCCCAGTAATCCTGAAAGAGCTTTGAAAATCCTGTTCCGGTCCCCAGAAACCCATCCTGGGTTGTTCCTCCCAGGCCAAAAGAGGTCAAAACTGTAGGGTTCACTTGCTCTTCCTGCTTTTCTTTCTTTCTTTCTTTTTTTTAAAGCATATCTACAGTAGTAAAAACGAGACGAGTTCAACATACCTGCAAGACAAGGCGGGCTGCGCAATTTTTTTAGGGGAAGGGGAAGAATCTGCGGTTTGCCCAGGAGAAAAAAACTTGCTCTCTTTACCCCCGAAATCGACGCCTGTAAAACAGGCTGGGCGCAGGTCCCCCGGGCAGGGAGCGGCCGGGCGCTGCGAGGTGGCTGGTCTAAATGCCCTTCGAACCTTTTCCTGCGCTGAAAAAAAGTGACTCTGCCCCCCTCTCCCCCTTTTTTCTTTTCTCCAAACTCACTTGTATTTAAAGGAAAAAAAAAAAAAAAAGCTCTCAATAGAGAGACTGATAGCCCGTGGCCTGGCCGGGGCGACTTTAACCCCCTCCGATCGGCAATAAAAGGAAACTAATTAAACCAGCAAGAGAAAATCCTGAGACTCACCCCTAGAAGTGAAGTTGCCATCACACAAAAGTGCCCTCCTCCTCTCAGAGGATCTTTTTTATATTGATAAATCAGAGGCAGTGTTTTTTTTAGAGGTGTGCAATACAATGATCAGTTCCGCCCATCCCACCACAATTGTAGCTCCCTCTCCGGCTTTGAAGTGCCGCGGAGGCGCGGCCAGCCAATCTGCGGCCTCGCCGGGCCGCGCCGCGCGCGCGCCGTGAGGTCATCGGCGCCGCCGCCGGCCGCCGCGGGCGGGTGGGGAGCGGGGGCCCGGGCCGGCGGCGCGGGGCGGGGGGGTGCCTGCGCGTGTTGCAGTGCGCGCGCGCGCACGCGTGTGTGTGTGTGTGGGTGTGTGTGTGTGTGTGTGCGTGTGTGACAATGTAACTGTGCGAGTGTGACCAAGCGGAGAAGGAGAGAGGACAGTGCAGAGGTTGCAGGGAGGGTGGGTGTAAGCGTGACACTGTAACAGCGACAGTGTGGTAAATGGGGGGGGGCAAGGGGAGAGACGGTGCAGAAAAAGGGGGAGCGTGTTGTGTATGACAGTATCACTGCGTGTGCGACAAAGGGGGTTAGAGGGACAGCAGGAAAGTGTTGAGGGGAAGAGTGTGAGTGTACTAAGGTGTGAGTCTGGCAAACCTAGGGAGGAGAGGACAGGGCAGTAAAGTGGGGTGTGTGTGTGTGTGTGTGAGTGTGTCTGGTTTGGGGGGAGAGGGAGGGGTGTGGATACGTGTGTGTGCGGGAGAGGGTGTGTGTGTGCACGGGCGTGTGCGCGCACCAGAGCTGGGGGTGGGGCACAGGAACAATGCAATAAAGTGTACGTCTGTAAGAAAGAGACTGGCGATTTGGAGGGGGAAACTGCGAAGTTGAGTGAGGCTGATGAATAAACATTCACAAACGCTGCCACTGTCGCCAACTTCCTCCGGCTCCTTGTACCTAGAATCTTGAGTGATTTTTCTCAACTTATTGGGTACTGTCACTGCATTTTTGAAGAAGATTTTAATACCTACTTTCCCTTTCCCGGCTCTCCAGCCAAACAGTAGGAAGATTGGGAGGCTGAGGGGTATTTTTAGGGGTGAGTTGGGGTGTGTGTGCGCCTGCGCCCGCGAGTTCTTACTTTGATGTAGTGGCTTTTCCTTCCCCGCTCCCTGAGGTGGGATTTGGCTTTGGAAGTGCAGGTCTCACTCTAAGGGAGGAGGTGTGTTTGTCCCGTGGAGTTGAGTAAATTTCAATACAAAAGGATTAGATAGAGAAGGGAGGTAAGCCGGGGTTGTTTTTTCTTGGGGTGACAAATCCAGGAGCATTTAACGGAATTTAGAAGTTTTCACAGGAAACCCCACTGCCTCTTTCTGAGGAAAAAAAATCAGGACATGTATTGAAATCTATGGATTTTATTTATCTAAGAATAGAGACAAGCTTTTGACAAGTCTCGGACTACATGCGTTTGTGTCAAATGGCGTTTGGGCCAGAGATCTGAGTGTATGTGCATGTTAATAAATACACTTAGTTCAAATTCCGTGGGTTTTAGTCATTTGCTTGCCATTCATGTTATTAGTTGCTTTCAGAAATGTCATTACAATTTCACTGCCACCTCAAGGGAACTTCTTAACCCACAGAAAGCACAACACCAGTGTAGCAAAAAGTCCAGAGTCCTTGGAGGCCTACCAAATACTCATGTTTACAAAAAAACCCAAAAAACAGTAATTCATATTTTTAAGCAATTATGGTCTCAAAACTCTAATTTTAAGTGAAATTGATTAAAATTTGACTAGATGAGGGAAGTATTCTATTTTGATTGGGGCAACATTTTTATTTTGTTGTTTTTGAATCCTCAAGTGTATCAGCTTATGGAGATGTCAAAAATTCCTCCTGTAATTTACTAAATTCCAAATTCAGGTCGTATTGTTTGTGTAAATTTCATTGACCAGAGTTGAGGCTGATGTCTGTGGTGTGAGAGTGTGTATTTCTGACCCCTTTTTAACATGTGTGGGTATTGACTGTACATCATATCTATTGATTAAGGGGGTAAGGTACACTCTCATACTTTGAAGTAAGTGTGAAGTAAATTAATGAACTGCTTTCCTTCTCTGAAGGCTGACGCTTACCATAAATGTCGTGTTTCTCCCTGCAAGCCGCTCTGAATGATTTTAGCGTGTTGAGAAGGCGTGACAGGCCAGCCCAGAAGGAGGAAGGGGTGGGGGAAGGAGGGAACTCCGTTTAACAAATAAAAGAGAATTAACTTCATTGCTTTGGTCTCCTTCCATAATGATATTCATTTTAAGGACCTAATATACAGTTGTTCAAATTTGGGGTTTAATTCTAATCAATACCATCACCCTCTAAGGTGGAGAAAAAAAAGCTTTGAGGGGAGACTCCCTTCTATGAATAGTAATTTATTTTATCTTCTGAAAGGAAGTGAGGCAGGACTATTAAAAAGTTAAATGCTGATTCTGATAGTAAACAGAGGCGTTAACCACTGTTTCCTCAAAAATGCCAGGAATTAGAAAAACCCAGCATCATGTGACTGCAATTTTGAGCTACCTAATTCTAAGATTTTTCATTCGTATAAATTCACTTTAGAATCATATGTCATTCTTCCTATGACATGAGTCACAACGTTGTTGTGGATTTAATGAAAGTACTGGGTTCTTCAATTTGCATAAACTTGGCTTGCAGCATTTGAAGATTTTCTTAAAGGTTTGTATGTGCAACTTTCTTCATTTTGTATCTCTCTCTCTCTCTCTCTCTATATATATATATATACACACACATACACACATATATATTTGATTTACTCCCATTAAAATAGTGAAGTATTTATTTCATAGTAACATTGGTCAAAGGACATTTCTTTCTTTTTTTCTTCCCTGTTTGCACCCACCTCAAAAGTAGTTAGTGTTTGTGTCATAAGGCGTAAGGCAGCACAGTTAAAAAGGATGGACAAAGAGAATTATGTAATTGATGAAAAATTAAAACGGTCATAATTTTGCTTCTAAACTTATTTGAAACTCGTCTTAATGGCAGCTCTTTCTCCACTTTGGAGGAGTGACTAGATTATTATTAAATCCTGTCCCACAGGAGGAAACATCTGTAATCCATTGTAGATACAGCCTGCCTGGCAAAGCATTTCAAGGTGCATACAGTTCAGTTTACCTTTTACGATATTGATCATTACTCTTGAGTATGATATTGTGTTAATATAGATGTTTGGGAAAGAAGGGGAATAAAAATAAGAGTATAGGCTTTTTTTTACATTAATTAAAAGTTTCCCCCACCCCATATGAAGTTTAATGTGCTGGCAAGAAGAGGGGTAGATATTCTGTGATTTCTTGCAAACCTGTGGGATCCACTATCAATAAAGCTAAAATCTATTAGCATTCTGTATGCATCTGCAGCATAAATTTCATTTGAATTTCAAATTTAATAAACCAGGAGGTTTTTAATCATCCCTGGTTTTATTTGTTTGATATTAACATGCTTATTGACCGGGTCTGGTGACCAGTTTGATCATTACAGGACAGCAAAAAGTTAATTAAAACGACCACAGCCCCTTAATCATATCATCTGTCTCATCCATGTCGCTCTCTTTATTACCGGTGATGATGGATAGTCTCCCAGATTAATTTCTCTGTTTCTTCGATTTGGACAACAGCTTTTGGGACCTAATTTACATCCTGGGAACAACTTGCTCAAGTATATCTAACACCTTGCAGCTACAATATACATCAACATCTCCTTAGATAGAGCAGAGAAAGGAAGCTTTTTCTGCAGGCGGGTTTGAAGACTAATCAATGCTCAGATCTGGAGCTCTTACGCTTTCACGACCAAAGAAACAGAAGGTCCTAAAAGCAAATTAGAGGCCTCAATTCCTGCTTTTCCTTTTGGGGGAATAGGGAGTGAAATATGCCTCTGCTGTTTGGTTAATAGATTAAAATGTGTAGATACAGCGACAAGTAAATAAAGCCATTTGTAACCATTAAGTACAATTAGGGATTTATAGTGGAAAACATCAAAGTTATCCAGGCTTTCAAGTGTCCTGCAACGCATCTACACCAAATACGGTTTTTGAACTTGTGAAGTGTGTTCCAGTGTATACACAGCACTTCAAAAAAAAAAAAAAAGAGGAGGGGGACCCTAATAGAAAAATAAATAATGCACACCAACTATAGCGCGTACCTCTGCTGGTACGTTTAAACCCGGCTCTTAGCATCTCCATTTCCAGAGCGTTGGCAGGGACAAGCAAGCTCTAGAAGCTGACTGGCGGGTGCCGGCCGCCGACCGACTGAACGCGGTGCGGGCGGTGCGGGCGTTGCGTCCCTGGCGGGCGCCTCTCCCAGAATGAGAAGACGGCCCCCAACCCCTGGCCACTGTGCAGGGACCTAGCGCGCGGACGTGACGGCTACTAAATAAAGCGTGGAGAAGGGTGGCCAGGGAGCTGAGCGCCGCC